CGCTGCCCAGATTGCTTATTGCGTGGAATTACTGCTTTATGGCTTTACAAGCAAAGCTATAATAATTGCCTAACTTCCCCTCGTGCCGTTATGACTACAAATCTCAATCCTTCTCCCTCTCCCTCATCCTGGTGGTCATTAAGGATCTCTCCCTATCTGCTGATTTCCTCCCCAAATGCCCACCACCCCCAGCCAAAGCCAGAAGCTGGAACTCAATCCGGGACCCCCGTGTGGGTGGCTGGAACCCAGTTATTCCCAGGGTCTCTGTTAGCGGGAAGCTAGACTCGAGTACAGAGCTGAGACTCGCACCCAGCACCCTGATTCGGAATATGGGTGTCTTAACGGCTGCACCAAATGCCCATCCCTTGAAATTTTTTGTTGCGACGTCTCACAGACCAAAGTGCAGAGAACAGCACAGCGAGCCTGTACTCATCACCCGTGTGCACGTCACCCGTGTGCATGTCACCCGTGTGCACGTCACCTGAGTGTACGTCACCCGTGTCCACATCACCCGTGTGCACGTCACCCGTGTGCACGTCACCCGTGTGCACATCGCCAGCTCAGGCACGCACCTTGCTGAGCTGTGCCGTAGTATTAGCACGTTCAATCTGAGAAGCAGTGATACACAGAGAGCGAGCAAGCGCACGCTCCTGTCTGCTGGTTCACTCTCCAGATGCCCCCAACATCCGGGAGTGGGCCAGGCCAGTGCTGGGAGCGGGGAACTCAGTCCAGTTCTGCCACGTGGGGTGGCAAGAACCTAAGTGCTTGAAGCGTCTGCACTACCTCCCGGGGTCTGCGTGCCGTCGCAGGAAGCTGGAGTCTGGACATCAGCCAGGAAGGGAACCAGTCACTGCAGCACAGGACACAGGTGTGTTAACCTCCAGGTCTTGGCAGGACTATTTGTATTAGTGAAAACCGGGGTGTTCTAAATGCCCATGGGTAAAAGACTGTCTCAGTAGTGGCAGCCAGGGGCAGTCTTGTCGCCCACAGGAGACATTCTGGTCAGAGCAGGTGGAGGCTGGCGTCTAGTGGGTGGAGGACAGCACCCCACCGTAAGGGATTATCCAAGCCCAGACCATCTGTGGGGAGGGAGCCGAGAAACCCTGGGTTAGGGAAAGTCTCAGCCGTACTGCGGGGCACGAGGCAGCCAATTAGAAGGAGAGGATTGGTCTTTCAATGCAGCATTAAAGATCGGTGAAAGTGTGTCACTTACAATTTGCCTTTTGAAAACTTAGTATGTGATCCGGGTAACATAAGTGACTTTTTAAAAACCACCGAATCTCACTTCCCCTCGGCGAAGGTGGCCTGTTGCCAGCTTCTGGTGTGCTTTTTCAGACCTGCTCCCGCAGGGACACTGGGCGCTCTGCTGGCCGCACGGGGACCCCGGCTTACCTCCTGGAGGGTCCTCCCTCCCTTGTGCTGCCGTGGGGTTAACTGATGGAAGCAAAGCTGTGTACTGGGAGAGGGGAGGTGGGCGGGCGAGCAGGAGGCTCGGGAAGTCAGCCCCGGGGGTGTTAATGCCATGACAGGAAGACATGGTGGTGGTGGTGGTGGTGACAGCGATGCAGCGGGGGCTCTAACAGGGGTTCAGCCCAGCCAGAAACCTCGCTTGTCCCTCCTGCCCTTGGGCACTCGTGGGTCCTGCGTGGACATCAGCGGCCACCGACTCTCCACTGCTCTGCCGTCTCCAGGGCTGCTCCTGCACAGCCTCTTAGGGTTGGGTGAGAGGCCTTGGCCATCGGCTTCCGGCAGTCACTTCTCCAGCGCCCCCTGTCTCTCTCACCCGGCGTCATTCCAGGGTCCCCACCGGAAGGCGGGCAGTACCCAGCGCCCCCAAAACAAAAGGCATATGCTGCCATCTTGAGCCAGAGCCAGGCTGCTCTGGGGGCCAGGCATGGCAGGGCCGAGGGACCGTCCCCTGGGCCCAGGCTGCAGGTGGCGGGCACCCAGGTCCCCTCAACCATCAGGCGTCCCCTCTGCCCAGCTCAGGACCGGGCAGCCTCCGGAAACTGCCTCTCGAGTCATCTCCAGAAATGTTTCCTCTCCCGACTTCTTATGCTTCCTGAGGGCCTGGGCCAGCTGTGGGCACCTGGCTGGCGCCCCTCCCGTGGGGGCCACGCTGGTTTTGTTGCCTGGTTTGCTTTTTCTTGCCATCGAGGGAGAAGTATAAAAGTTACTTTAAGTTAGGTGCAAAATTGCTTCTCCACCAGGGATCATGTTATCAACTATTTGCATTTTAAGATAGACCTTGAATAAAAATGCCCCACTGCACGAGGGCGCCAGCGTAACATGGGAGACCCACTCCGTGCCCCTGGAAATGGGACTGACGGGCCGCTGAGGCCTGGCCACCGTGAGGGAAGGCCTCCTCGACGCTTTAGAACAACCTCAGCACTTTGTCACCGTAGCTGGCTGGCCGAGAGGAACTGAGAAATGAAAACGCTCCAGTCGCCCTTTCGCAAAGGGAAGCAGGCAGACGTGGGGGTGGCCTCGCGTCCGATCCACGCCTCGCTCACCCCCGAGCAGCGGAGTGCTCCTCGTGCCCGGCTGACCCCGAGTTCATTTCCAGCCGTTGCACCTGTCACTAAGGTCTCGGTCGGGTGCGGGCGTGAGGGTTTACGCAGAGTTTCCCAGCCTTGCCTGCTGTCCCCGGAGCTCGGTCCATTTGTGGTTTAATTCTCCTGTCCTACAGCAGGGCTTTGCAACAGCGGCACAATCGTTTGGGCTCCGGTGATTCTTTACCACGGCAGCCGTCCTGTGCCTTGCGGTGTGTCCCGCGGCGTCCTTAGCCTCAGCCCACGGATACCCGGCTCTAAATCCCCAGTTGCTGTGCCCCAAAATGAATCTAGACGTTGCCAAAGGTCCCACAGGACACAGAACCACACACACGTGCACACCCTCAGGGTTACTGTTCCAGCTGCAGGAAAATGCATATTGTGGAAAACCTGTGTGTAGACTGAAAGGAGTTTTTGCAACAAAGCAAACAACAAATTGTGTGTCCGTGTGGGTGTGTGGGTGTGTGTGTATACATAGATACATATGTATATACAAATGACATTGTATACATTGTATACACATACGTATTTATATACAAATGTGTGTGTATACTTCTTGAGAGACAGAACTCCATCTACTGGTTCACTCCCCGGATAGCCCCAGCAATCAGGGCCGAAGCCAGGAACTGGGAGTGCGATCCAGGTCTCCTACCGGGTAGCAAGGACACGACTACTTGAGCTATGACTGCTGCCTCCCAGGGTCTACACTGGCAGGAAGTGGGCTCAGGAGCCAGAGCCAAGTATCAAACCCAGCTTCTCTGATGTGGGCTGCACTAGGGCCACACGCCCACCCCCATGCTCGTTTGTAAATGCTGTCTGTCCGGGAGCTTTCGGGAGTATCCTCGTGGAGAAAGACGCAGTGGACAGTTAAGTCTGCCCTAGGTTACTTGTGCTTCGTGTGACTGAACACCTGTGTGTCACCGGCTCAGTCCCTGTGGGGGGTGGAAAGGTTTGCTCCCCGCGTGGCCTTCCTTCTGCTCTCCGCTGTGTTTATGTGCTGCTGGGAACGTTTGCCTGGCCTGTTGTTTCTTTTTTTTGACAGGCAGAGTTAGACAGTGAGAGAGAGACAGAGAGAAAGGTCTTCCTTCCGTTGGTTCACCCCTCCAAGTGGCCGCTGCTGCTGGTGCATTGCGGCCGGTGCGCTGTGCTGATCCGAAGGCAGGTGCTTCTCCTGGTCTCCCATGGGGTGCAGGGCCCAAGCACTTGGGCCATCCTCCACTGCACTCCCGGGCCATAGCAGAGAGCTGGACTGAAGAGGAGCAACAGGGACAGAATCTGGCACCCCGACCGGGACTAGAACCTGGAGTGCTGGCGCTGCAGGCAGAGGATTAGCCTAGTGAAACGCGGCGCCGGCCCTGGCCTGTTATTTCAACAGTAAGGCCTTAATCCTGCACATTAACTCATCTGTTTGTTTTGTTTTGTTTTGTTTTGTTTTAAGATTTATTCTTTGCTTATTTGAAAGAGGTAGAGACAGAGAAGTCTTCCATCCGCTGGTTCACTCCCCGGATGGCTGCAGCAGTTGGAGCTGCACTGATCCGAAGCCAGGAGCTTCTTCCAGGTCTCCCACGTGGGAGCAGGGGCCCAAGGACTTGGGCCATCTTCTACTGCTTTCCCAGGCCATAGCAGAGAGCTGGATGGGAAGAGGAGCAGCCAGGACTAGAACCAGTGCCCATATGGGATGCCGGTGCTTCAGGCATTAACCCGCTGCGTCACAGCGCCGGCCCCAACTCATCTATTCTTGTGGCAGCTTTGTTTGCTAAAGGCTCTCTCCGCAAGCCCACCAGTAGGCAAGCACCACCTCTTCATTTTCATTTTATTTGAAAGGCAAATAAACAGATGGAGATCTCCCCTCTGCTTGTTCACTCCCCAAACTCCTGCAGCAGCCAGTGCTGGGCTGGCCGCAAGCCAGGAGCCTGGAACTCCATCTGGGTCTCCCACATTGGTGGCAGAAACCCCAGGACTTGCACCATTATCTGCTGCCTCCCAGGGTGCACATTAGCTGGGAGCTGAATCGGAGATGGAGCCAGGACTCGAACCAGGCTCTCCAGTGTGGAATGAATGTGGTTCAACCCACTGTGGGCCGCGAGACCCAGCATCCCTTGGGCTCCAGCCTTCGCTCCGTGGAGGGCCGGCAGATAAAGGGACCGGCTCCGTGGCTCCGCGTTGTCGCTTTCCTGCACTCCTGCCTCCCACCCCAAGGAGACGGTGCCGCGGAACCGACCTCACGGGACGCGGTTGGCGGCTGTAGCCACGTGGATTGTAAAGGCTCTTGTTCCACACGGAATCGCCCTCTTCCGCCTTCCAGCCGGTGTGTGCAGAAGTAACCCGAATCGCAGCCGTCTGTCCATTCCAGCCGGCCGGGGCCACTCTGCTGGTTTCCCGTCGCTCGTTCCCGGGGTGCCCGTCCGGAGCGAGCCTGGCGCTGATGTCCGCGTGTTTGTGTCTCAGGTCACGCTGCTGATCGCCTTCCTGTGCGTGTGGAGCTCCCCGGGGACCCACTACAGCGCCTACAGCTTCTTTGAAGTGGTCACCATCTGCGACTTGATCATGATCCTCGCCTTTTACCTGGTCCACCTCTTCCGTTTCTACCGCGTGCTCACCTGTATCAGCTGGCCCCTGTCGGTAAGAGAGCAACCTGGCCCCGGCACGCAGGAGCGGGATGGCAGCTGGGGCGTGGAGACCCCACCCCCCACCCCGGGGTCCTTTGTGGCTGCGCATTCTGCTCCTGTAACCCTCCGCAGCTGCCCCAGCCTTGCGTCTCTGCCTGATGCCCCTCCTGGCTTCTGAAATGCACTTTGTAGCTGCGCGAAGAATGTGATGATTTTTCACTAGTGACAGGATGAGCTGCGTGTGCATGTGTGTGTGTGTGTGCGTGCGTGTGCGCGTGTATGTGTGCACACTTCTCGGGAGGAGCTGATGGGGCTGATGGGAATATTCACTGGGGGACTCGAGGAATGAGATTTTTCCGCCGAAACTGCCTGGCAGGTGCTAAGGAGGCAAGATGCAAGTGGCCAGCTCTTTTCTTGATTACCTATTTTTTTAAAAAATTAAACTTTTTTTTTTTTTTTGAAAGGCAGAGTGATTGAAAGAGAGAGAGAGAGAGAGGCCCCAGCCTTGAAGCCAAGAGCCCAGAACTCCATCCAGGTCCCCCACGTGGGCGGGAGGGACCCAAGCACTTGAGCCATCATCCGCTGCCTCCCAGGATGTGTGCATGAGCAGGGAGCTGGATTAGGAGTGCAGGAGCAGGGCCGGCGCTGTGGCGTAGCCGGTAAAGCCACTGCCTGCAGCGCCGGCATCCCATATGGGCGCCAGTTTAAGTCCCAGCTGCTCCTCTTCCAATCCAGCTCTCTGCTATGGCCTGGGAAAGCAGCAGAAGATGGCCCAAGTGCTTGGGCCCCTGCACCTGCATGGGAGACTGGAAGAAGCTCCTGGCTTCTGGCTTCAGATCAGCCCAGCCCCGGCTATTGCAGCCATTTGGGGAGTGAACCAGCGGATGGAAGGCTTCTCTCTCTGTGTCTGCCTTTCTCCGTCTATAACTCCGCCTTTCAAATAACAAGTGAAGGAGCTGGGACTTGAACCAAGCAGCGATGTAGGTTGTGCCTGGGGCGCACCTGCCCTGTGAGACATGATTCTCCCCTTAAAGCTCTCACTGCTGCTTCGGCATGCCTTGCCAAGCACCCGTTTAAACTGTCCGTCGGGTCAGTGTTAGTGTATTTGTAGAATCATGCAGCCATCCCCACAGTCATCTCAGAAAGAAACCCCATCATCCCGCTCTCCCCTCCAGCCCCCCGCAGCCGCTCGTCTCCTGTCTCAAAGGTTTCCTCCTGTGGGCGGACTCGGGTGTGGTCGTCTGCAGCCAGCTTCTCGCTGGGGCAGTGTCCTCGTGCAGCGCGCACCAGTACTTCCTGTGCGCCGTCTGGATGTACTGCCCTGTTTCTCATCTGGTGTCGACGGGTGTTCAGGTTTTTCTCACCTTTGGATGCTACGAACAGTGCATCCCTTCCCTCTCCCTCCCCTCCCCCTCCCCCTCCCCCGCTATGAATATTCACGTACAGTGTTTTGAACATGTTTTCATTTTTCTCGGAGTGGAATTGCTGAGTCATTTTTGTGTGTTTGAGGAAGCTCTGGACCACGTGCCAAGGCAGCCGCACCATTTTAACTCTGACCTGTGTATGGGGATCCCAGGTTCTTCATGTCCTTGCTGATAGTTGATATTATCTGACCTTTTGTCTTAAGTCTGCTGGATTTATATGAAAGGCAGAGTGGCAGAGAGGGAGGGAGAGACAGAGAGGTCTTCCATCCGCTGGTTCACTCCCCAGATGGCCCCACAGCCAGGCTGAAGCCAGGAGCTCAGAACACAGTCCGAGTGTCCCACGTGGGTGGCAGGGGCCCAGGTACCGGGGCCGTCACCTGCTGCCTCCTAGGAAACTGGATGAGAAGCACAGGGGAGCTCAACCCAGGCTCTTGAACGTGGGACGTCGGCAGCGCCCGCCCCTCCTGACTTGATCCTAGGTTGTGTGTGTGAAGCTGTAGCTCATGTGGGCTGGACTTGCTTTTCTTTGATGACTAAGAATATTAATCGTCTTTTCATGCTTTTTTTTTTTTAAATCAAATTATTTGAGAGACAGAGGGAGCTGCTGTTTGCTGGCCCCCTCCCCATGTTTCTTCAGGGCCGAGTCTCCGCCCAACCTGGAGCCAGCAGCTGGGGATGGAACCCAGGTGACTGGTGCCTCCCGAGAGCTGCATGGCTGCATTGGTGGGCCCCTGCAGCTGGGACTGAAACCCGGGCACGGCGATAAGTGTCTCCACCGCTGTGCCAAATGCTTGCTCTGCCCACTTTCTAATTAGGCTGTTTTTCAAAAGTTTTTTTGAATTGTAAAAGATTTTTTTAATATATCCTGGCACGAGTCCCTTGTCAGATACATGGGACTGTTGTTGGTTTTTCACTCTCTTAATGGTGTCCTTCAAGTTCAGTGGATGTGTTTTTTCTCTTGCTGCTCATGCTGCTAGTAGCATGTGTAAGAAACCATTGCGGCCGGCGCCGCGGCTCACTAGGCTAATCCTCCACCTTGCAGCGCCGGCACACCGGGTTCTAGTCCCGGTCGGGCCACCGGATTCTGTCCCGGTTGCCCCTCTTCCAGGCCAGCTCTCTGCTGTGGCCAGGGAGTGCAGTGGAGGATGGCCCAAGTGCTTGGGCCCTGCACCCCATGGGAGACCAGGAGAAGTACCTGGCTCCTGCCATCGGATCAGCGCAGTGTGCCAGTCGTAGCGCGCCGGCCACGGCGGCCATTGGAGGGTGAACCAACGGCAAAGGAAGACCTTTCTGTCTCTCTCTCTCTCACACTGTCCACTTTGCCTGTAAAAAAAAAAAAAAAGAAACCATTGCTAGGGTGGGCTTTTGGACAGCAGTTAAGACACCACTTGTGGGGGCCAGCACTGTGGCACAGCCAGTCAAGGTGCTGCCTTTGATGCCGCCATCCTATGAGGCGCTGGTTCGAGTCCCAGCTACTCCACTGCTGATCCAGCTCCCTGCTAATGAGCCAAGGAAAGCAGTGGAAGACGGGCCAAGGGGTTGGGCCGCTGCACCCATGTGGGAGACCCGGAATGAAGCTGCTAGCTCCTGCCTTTGTCCGGGCCTCACTCACTTTTTTAAAAAAATTCATATTCTTTCTTTCTTTATTTGAGAGGCAGAGTTACAGAGAGAGAGGGAAAGATCTTCCAGCTGGTTCACTCCCCAAAGGGCTGCAATGGCTGGGACTGGGCCAGGCCGAAGCCAGGAGTCAGGAGCTTCTTCCGGGTCTCCCACGTGGGTGCAGGGGCCAAGTACTTGGGCCATCTTCCACTGCTTTCCCAGGCACATCAGCAGGGAGCTGGGTCGGAAGTGGAGCAGCCGGGACCCAAACTGGCGCCCACAGGGGATGCTGGTGTCGCAGGCAGCAGCTTTACCCACCGTGCCGCAGCCCCGGCCCCACACACTATGTTATTTTGAGAGAAATTTCTTGTTTTATGTGCCTGTGTCCTGAGGCCTCTTTCAAGGTGATGGCACGTGCCCACTTCCTCTGGACGGCCCGGTGCTGACACTGAGCAAGCCACGTGAAGGATAGAGCTCCGGGGCGAGCAGAGAGGTGGTCTGATGGTGGCGGCTGGAGGCCAGGCTCCGCCGCACTGCCTGCTGCCTGCTCCCCGGTGCCATCTAGCTGGGAGTCTCTCGCGTCGATGTCCTCTGTCCGGTGCTGCCCTTCCTCCATGGGTGAGACTCCTGGGTGGGGAACCTGCAGTCACTAACCCACTCCTTGGTCGGAATCTGTCCCCACAGATTCTCCCACGCGGGTGCAGGGGCCCAAGCACCTGGGCCATCTTCTACTGCTTTCCCAGGCCATAGGTAGAGAGCTGGACTGGAAGAGGAGCAGCCAGGACTGGACCCAGCACCCATATGGGATGCCAGCAGCTTAGCCAGCCCCTGGAGGAGTGCTTACTAAGTTTTCACTGAAGACACCTGAGAAATGGATACTCTGTGTTAGGTGTGGAGTAGCTCTGGTTTCTGGCCTTTCGTACCCCCAGAAAAGAGAGACTGAAAAAGAGACGGAGACCGACCTCGACAGAGACAGGTTGCTTTACTGAAGCGAAGAGGGGCTGTGCCAGTCTCTTCTTGCAGAGAGACTGCTCACCTGCGCACAGAGGGCTGGGTTTCTCTGGCTGAAGAGGGAATCGGCCACTGCCGGGGGGAGGTAGAGGGCTCGGGGGTGGCGGGAAGTAGGGAGTAGGGGGCTTTTATGAAGAAGCCGCTGGATCTTCACTCTTCTCTGTTTCACAAGCTGCCCTGTGCGGCTCATCTGTTTTGCCAGCAGCTTTGCAAGGAGTCTGAGGGGGAGGTCGAACTTGGCTCCTGCACCTGAGGGTCTCACCAGAGAGGGAGGAAATGGGGGGGGGGGCATCTTGTGCGCTTTATCGCCCTTTACTCGATGCAGGTGTGTGCTGATTGGCTGTAAGCCCGTGCTCTCTGACCTGGTGTTTAAGAGGGGAGGAGGATGCGGCTGGAGCCTTCCTGCTGCCGTATTGCTGTCTGACTCCTGGCCAGTGGCTGGAGCAGACCTGGGCGGCCCATCGGCCAAGGTGGGAAGGAGAGGTGGCGTCAGTCCTGCCAGGAGATGTGTTGGCAGAGACCGGCCAGGGCCATGTTCCTGGAGAGGAGGCACACACCAGGAGGAGTGGCCCTGGGCCCGTCACAGAGGCACACTGCACCCCATGTGGGCTCTGGCCGGAGCAGACTTGCGGAGCTCCCCCGTGAGGCCGTCCGCAGAGTGGGCAGCCGCACAGACCCAGCACCCCGGGAGCCCGGGACCTGCTCTTAAGCAGGGGAGAAAGCCACGCCTCTCTCAGGGGCTGCGTGTCTCAGAGCAGGAGCTGCACTGACCCTGCAGCCTGGGGTGGCAAGAAGCATGTTGGCTTGGTGGTGGCTTTAGCCACGGGTCACCGGTCTACCAAAGGCTCTCAGGACTGGAACTTGCTGCTGGCACGAGAAGCTTCCTTTTCCCTGTCCACTGCCCGGCCTCGTGTCTCCCCCGCTTGGCCACACTGGTTGCTGAAGGCTGTGCTGGGTCTCCTGCAGAAACGTAGAGCAGAGGAGGAGGGGTCCCTCCGTCCCCTTGCCCGCGTCTCTCCTGGTGCCCGGTGGCTGAGATGCAGGAGCACAGCCCCCGCCCACTTGGCTCTGTTCCGTCCCCTTGCCTGCGTCTCTCCTGGTGCCCGGTGGCTGAGACGCAGGGGCGGAGGCCCCGCCCACCTCGCCCTGTTCTCTCCCCAGGAGCTCCTGCACTATGTGATCGGCACCCTGCTCCTCCTCATCGCCTCCATCGTGGCCGCCTCGCAGAAGAACAACCAGGGCCGGCTGGTGGCCGGAGCGGTAAGGATGTTCCTGGGACCTCAGGGGCCGCCTCTCCCACGGGCGCCTTGGCTCCCCGCTGAGCGCACAGCAGGGGCTGCTTTCTGGGGTCTTTGCAGACTTGCCACCTACCCTGCTGTAGCAGGCACCCGCCTGCAGGGAGCCCTCAACCTGGGCTTGCCCGCAGGGCCCCGGAAGGTGGACCGTCCGGGCTGTGGCTCCCGCGGCCCTGGCCTCTCTGCCCTAGGGGGAAGTGGGCTGTTGGTCCTGGAGCCAGGCTGAGCATTCGCTCCTAGCTGCTCAGGATGCAACAGAAAAAAAAATGCAGGGGCCCCTTTTGGGCCCGGGGGGAAGGAGCTGTGAACAAGTAGTGTTCTGATTGTTCTGGTCCGACCTTCACTGTTATTAATGATATGCAGGCCATAAGGTAACGCGCCGGCACATTTCAGAGGTACGAATTGGTCCGTGTGCTAGCCATGAACCCGGCTAGACTGACATAACCAGAATGCATGCATGCGTCTGTGTACATGCGTGCTAATGCGTGTTATGTGCTAGGCTTTAGAGATGCGGAGAGCCCCGCCCTGATTTCTTTCCTCTTTGAGAGGCGGAGAGATCTTCCATCCTTCCATCCACGGGTTCGTTCCCCAAACGCCTGCAGCAGCGGGGACTGAGCTGGGAACCACATGTGGCTCTCCCACGTGGGCGGCAGGGGGTCTGCACCAGCAGGGACCTGGAGTGGGGGCTGGCGTGGGGCCTGACAGCTCGGGAGTCTGATGTGGGGCGCAGGTGTCCTGACCAGTGGCTCAGCCGCTAGGCCGGGCCCCCACATCTGGTTTCTGGTTTCACTCGCTGTTTACGGGTCAGCGCCTGCGGGCCAGTACTGATTTGCTTCACTGGCGAGCGGGCAAGATTTTTAAACTTGAGTTTTGGTAGCACACTGGCTACATTCTGCAGACTCTGTCCCGGAGTGGATCAGCTCCCGAAATCCCCCCAAGGGCCAAGTCAGTCCTGCCCAAGCCAGCACAGGCCAGAACGCACCCCGTGTGGCTGCAGGGGGCGGCCGAGCCCCTGCACACCACAGCCGGCTCTCCCATCCCCCACCCCGGGGCTGTCACCAGGAGGGTGGGGTGCCACCCGCACGTTGGCAGCTGCCCAGCCACAGTGCGGGCGGGGCGGGAGACACAGGGGAAGGTCCCACCCCCTGTGTTTCAGGGGGAGAATCCCACTGGGGCTGGTAGCTCGGGCTGCTCAGAGCCACGTTCACCCTGGGATCCCAGTAGCTACCATTGATCCCGCACTGTCCTCGTACCCACACCAAACCTGGGCCTTGGGGAACTCCAGAGGAATGAAGAGACAGGCCCTGCTCAGGGAGTGTGAGGACGGGGCCCCTGCAACAGTTAGCGGCGCCACCTTGTCGCCCGGCGTAGCGTTCCGTGGTGACACGGCCACGAACGGTTCAGTGCCGCAGTGCACACAGCTGGAGGGCGGGATGGCGCACAACGTGCCAGTCCTGCAGAGTGGGCACCGCGAGGCAGGCGGGGCTCCGACGGGCTGCTCCTGTGTCGCCAGAACTGGTACCAAAGGCGGCGAGTAGCAGGGCGTGGGGGAAGGGTGGGTGTGGACTGCAGAGGCCCCGGCGATGGCCTGAGCCGAGCAGGCTTGCTGCCGCTCTCCCCTCCTCTGGCCGCCAGCTGGTTGTGAGCCACCCACTGGTGCTGGCCCTGGTGAGCCCACACTGCCAGGAAAGCGACTGCTGGCCACAGCGTGCCCAGGCCCCCTCTTCCTCCTCGACACCTGAGCTCGGCCGGCCGTCGTTCCTTGTACCCGAGCTCTGAGACGGGAAGAGAACCCTGCTCAGCTGAGTTCTGCCCCGTGCCAGTTGCACACGGGCAGGCATGAGGTCGGCGTGAAGGCGCAGCTTCTGGCTCTCGTGTGCCGCCCAAGGCAGGCCAGAGCAGAGCGCCTTGCTACCACACCACTGAAACCTATTTAACATGAAGAAAAAAGTCGAACTATTACTTATTTTGACTTTATTTGAAAGGCAAATAGGAGGGAGAGAAAGAGAGAAGGGACCCATCTGCTGGGTCACGCCCCGAATGTCCACAACAGCCTGGGCTGGGCCAGGCCGGAGCCAGGAGCTTTTTCTGGGTCTCCCACATGGGTGGCAGGGACCCCAGTACTTGAGCCATCCCCTGCTGCCTCCCAGGGGCACATTAGCAGGAGGCTGGGTCAGAAGCAGAGCTGGGACTGGGAGGAGGCGCTCTGATACACGATTCCCACCTTTTTCTCTGTTAGTCTGGGGTGACCAGCGTTGGACTGGCCCCAACTTGGCTGTAAACTGAACCGCAAACCCGGGCACTGGTGTCACCTCAAGTGACATGGGCCGGGGGTCGAGGCCCAGCGGCCTGGCTGCCCACCTGCCCCGTGCCCACGCAGGGCACCTGCCTCCCGCAGCATCCTCTCGGCCCCAGAGGCAGCACGAGGCGGGCAGCTCAGACAGTGGCCGCGCCCCTTTCTGGGTGCCAACAGACAAGGCTGCCTGTGCACCTCCTCCTCTTTCCACTGCAGGTCTTCGGGTTCATGGCCACCTTCCTCTGCATGGCCAGCGTGTGGCTGTCCTACAAGATCTCGTGTGTGACGTCATCCACAGGTGAGCGCCGCGTGTCTACGCACCAGACATCTTGGGGGCCTGGAGTGTACACGGCGGGGCCACCGTGAGCCTCTGCGCTGCTCCTGTCCCCCCATGCCAGGGGGCGCCCCAGCATTATGGCCTCTGAAGGCTTTCCGAGTTTTCTCGTACTAAGGTTGCTAAGGACAAGGATGAGATGTAGAGCTTCTAGAAAACATGGCTAAAGGGGTCGGCGCTGTGGCGTAGCGGGTAAAGCTGTCGCCTGCAGCGCCGGCATCCCATATGGGTGCCAGTTCGAGTCCCGGCTGCTCCACTTCCTATCCAGCTCTCTGCTGTGGCCTGGGAAAGCAGTGGGAGATGGCCCAGGTCCTTGGGCACCCTTGTGGGAGACCTGGAAGAAGCTCCAGGCTTCAGATGGGCTCTGGCCGTGGCGGCCATCTGGGAAGTGAACCAGCAGATGGAAGACATCCTCTCTCTCCTTCCGTAACTCTGCCTTTCAAATAAATAAATCTTCCAGGCCGGCGCCGCGGCACACTAGGCTAATCCTCCGCCTAGCGGCGCCGGCACACCGGGTTCTAGTCCCGGTCGGGGCGCCGGATTCTGTCCCGGTTGCCCCTCTTCCAGGCCAGCCCTCTGCTGTGGCCCGGGAGTGCAGTGGAGGATGGCCCAGGTGCTTGGACCCTGCACCCCATGGGAGACCAGGAAAAGCACCTGGCTCCTGGCTCCTGCCATCGGATCAGCGCGGTGCGCCGGCCACATCGCGCTGGCCGCGGCGGCCATTGGAGGGTGAACCAACGGCAAAGGAAGACCTTTCTCTCTGTCTCTCTCTCTCACTGTCCACTCTGCCTGTTTAAAAAAAAAAAAAAAAAAAATCTTCCAAACACACACCCTCTGCCCTCACCCTACCCAGAATTAGCACCTGGGTATCTGCCCTCCTACTAGTTCCTCTTTGAGAAAGATACTTTTTTGTTGTTAATGACATTTATTTGGAAGGCAGAGCAAGAGAGAGAGGGAGTGGGTGAGGGGAGATCCTCCATCTGCTGGTTCACTCCCTACAGGGCTGCAACAGCCAAGGCTGGGCCAGGCCAAAGCCAGGAGCCAAGAACTCTGTCCCTGCCTCCCACATGGACTTGGGCCGTCTCCCCCCGCTTTCCCAGGTGCGCTGGCAGGGAAGCAGGAATCCACACCAGCTCTCGGGTATGCCTGTGTAACCCAATACAGGGCGATGCTGGGCCCCACCCGCTGCTTTAGGATGTGTTCTTGCAATTTGCTGGCTTCCTCCTGCTCAGCCCTCCAGCGCCATTAGGAATCCTCCATCATTCTTCTTTCTCAGTCACTGAAGATTTTCATTGTGTGTATCTGAGAGGCAGAGAGAGAGGGACAGAAATCCCCCATCCACTGGGTCACTGTCCAAGTGTCCACAGTAGCCCAGGCCGGGCCGGAACTGAAACCCAGGCACACCAGTGCAAGGTGTAGATGTCCCAAGCAACAACTTCACTATGCCTCAGCATTTTTTATTTTTATTTTTTTGCTATTTATCTGAGAGGCAGAGAGAAGGTGACATTTCACTGGTTTACTCCCCAAATACCTGCAGTAGCCAGGGCTGGGCTGGGCTGAAGCCAGTAGCCAGGAACAGTTTTGGGTCTCCCGGTGGGTGACAGGGGCCCAATTACTTGAGCCATCCCCTGCTGCCTCCCAGGGTCTGTGTTACTGGGAAGCTGGCGTCAGGAGCTGGAATCGGGACTTGAACCCAGGTACTGTGATGTGGAACACAGGTGTCTTTAACCCTGAGACCAAACACCTGCCCTGCATTGTTTTAAAAATTTCATTTATGTGAAAGGGGGAAAGGAGGAGAAATCTTCCATCTCTGGTTCATGCCCCCAGATACCTGCACCGTTCATGGCTAGGCCAGGTCAAAGCCGGGAGCCAGGAACTCATCAGTCCCCGACGTGGGTGGCAGGGGCCCAAGTACCTGGGCCATTTGCTGCCGCCCTGCTGGGCACCTTAGCAGAGAGCTGGATGGCAAGCGTGGAGTAGCCGGGACTCAGGTCAGGCACCAGATAATGGGATGGGGGGGGGGGGCCCAAGCGGTATCTTGACCCACTGCGCCATGGCTGCCCCACAAATGTATTTTAAAAGAACACAGCAAGCCCAGTGAAGGCTGGCGCTGGCCGGGGGCACGAGGTGCCCTGAGTGGAACCTGGGGTGTCGGCTCGGCCTTGGGGCGCCCTCCTGACGCTACCGTTTCCTTCCCAAGATGCAGCCGTGTGAGGAGGCCGCGGCCCCCGCGGGCTCTGCAGGACGTGGGCCAGCGGGGAGGAGGCCCGGCGACCCCAGGCAGGGTGCAGACAGTTCCTGTGCCAGCGGGGAGGGGCCCGCGCCTTCGTCCTGCTTCCCTGGACGCCGTGTCCCCGAGCCTCTGAGAGCATTCCGGCCCTGCTGAGGGGAAGGCCGAGCAGCCTCCGGGGACCTCCGCCGCCCCTGCCGACGACCCCGCTGCTGAGCGGGAGTCCTGGCTGCGCCCACCCGGCGCGTGAAGTGAGGCACACACACCCTGCACGGGAGACCCCACGTCTCCACTCCCTGTCTGCCCTTGTGAACCGTGTGAGTGAGAATGTGTGTTTTTTAAATAAAATACTGACTTGGCCGCCAGCAGAGGACTTCTCACGGAACCGGAAGAAGTCTGCGAGACCAAGCCTTGCCGTGGCACCTGCTGTGTTTGGTGCACACGCGAATGCCGTGTTCTGTGTGTTCACCTTGCTAACCTCTCTGCGGGAAAGATGGTAACAGGGCCAGGCTGCAGGTGAACATACTCAGGGTTTTGTAAAATATTTGAAAGGTGCAGAGAGAGCTTCCGTCTGCTGGTTCAATTTCCAAACGTCCACAACGGCCAGGCCACAGCCGGGAGGCTGGAACCCTATCTGGGTTTCCCATGTGGGAGGCAGGGGTCCAAGGATTTGAGCCACCACCTGTTGCCCCCCCGGAAGCCAGGGACAGAGCTCCTGGCTTTGGCCTGGCCCAGCCCTGTGGGGAGTGAACCAGCAGATGAGATCTCCCCTTCCAAATAAATCAATCATTACATGGATCTTTCTCGAAGAGGAACGACGGGAGGGCAGACGCCCGGGTGCTGGTTCTCAGTAGGGTGAGGGCGGAAGCACAGCGGCCCGGACTTGAACCAGGGGCTCCTGTATGGGCGCGTGGAGCTGAGCCATGAGCAGCGTCCTAACCCAGGCGCAGGGTTCTGCTCATATTCACGCCCTGCTGCTGCAGTTCCCAACTCACTCCCTTAGGAAGGGGACTAAGGGTGTGTCCACTGTGACAGTCCATCTTGCCTGGCCTTGGGCGGGGAGGGGGAGGGGCAGAGACACCTGGCCCAGCAGCTCTGGGGTGGCGACAGGGAGGGGAGGCTGTGGCGCACCCTTTGCAGACATGAGGAAATCGGGGCTGCCCCCATCTCGGGGGGGGGGGGGGGGGCAGGGCAAGCCAGGGGGGAACCGGGCCTCCCTCCATGCCTGGTGGTGCCAGCAGCCCTGGTGCACCCACGGCCGGCCGGCCCTGGGCTGGTTCCTCCTGGGAGGACAGGGGAGGGAGGGGACAGTCAGACGGAGCAGCAGGAGCCAGAATCCGCTCAGTGAGAACCCCACACACAGCGAGGCAGTGACCTCCGGGCCCAGGAGTACAGGGTGGGAAGAAGCGGGCACAGCTGCAGGCCACAGGGCCCCCAGCAAACCCCCGGACCCTTACACACACCCAGACCCTTACACACACCCCCGGGTGCTGGGAGTGAATGTTGAAGCAGACCAAGGGTGGTGGGAAGGAGGTCAGGTGAGGAGGTTACGACCGGGACTGGTCCCCAGCCCTGCCACCTACCGACAGGGTCCCAGAGCCTTGTTCCCCAGTTGGGTCGTGGCAGAGCACAGGCCTGTGTCCCTCCTGGAATCCAGCACGCGGCGACGTGCTCAGACGACAGCCTGATTACCCCCGACCTGAGCTCCACCTGTTTCACTTTGAAAGGTGGAGATAGGGACAGACGGGTCTCCCTTGTCCTGGCTCACTCCCCAGAGGCCCGCGAAGCAGCTGGAGCTGGGGACTCGGTCCAGGTCTCCCCCACGGGTGGCAGAGCCTCAACCACTGGGGCCGTCATCTGCTGCCTCCCAGGGAGCTGGACTTGAACTCGGGCACCGCCCCCGCCCCCAGGCTTGCTCCCCGCCTGGTACCAGGTTCACCTTGCACCTGCAATTCACATGGACTTCCACAAGGAGGGGCTGAGCCGCTGGACCCCGGCTTGGGGGTTCAGGGCAGCCACAGATGCCTACAGGACACTGGGTGAGTGGCTCAAGGGGCTCCGGGCTGTGTTGTGACAGCCAGGCCCTGCCAGAGGCCACCTCCCTGCGCCCCTGCCCGGTGAAGGGGACCCTGGCTTTTCACCTCCAAGGGATGCCAGTGGCTTTCAGACCCTCTGCTCCCTCAGCTCCTGAAGCTCCACTGTGGCTCCCTGGTCACCCAGGGACGTCCTAGGAGCAGGGCCAGCGCCTGAGAGGTCTTAGGCCCAGGTCAGGGGCCCACAGGGGTCCAGCCAGGTGGGCCTCACACCGGAGCTGCTTAGAAGCGCAGGATGCAGGAGATCCAACAGGATCTGCCTGCGTGGGAGCCGGGTCCCATGTCCAGAAGGAGCCGAGTGACGGGGTTGGTTAGGTGTGTCTGCGGGGTCCCCCGCCTGTCCCTGGGCCCACTGCTACATCAGAAGCACCTCCCCTGCCTCTGGTTTTGGGGGTCCCTGCCCCACTGTGCCCTGTGGGACCCAGAGGCAGAGCAGACGTGCAGGGAGCAGCCCTGGCCGTCGATGCTGGGAGCCTGTGATGACGGCAGACCAAGGAGGCCCTGGGCCCAGGGGCAGGTCCCGTACAGCCGCACCCCAGCCCCGGGGGACGCAGGGCCCTGAGAGGCCAGCTGCCAAGGGGCTCCCTCCTCCCAGTTCACAAAGCTCACGGTGCTCCTGCTGCAGCCCCTGATGCCAAGGGGCCGCTCGGGGCTGTCTGGGTGCCGTAGTGGGGTCCCTGGGTCCCTCTCAGAACAACAGGGACAGCCTTCAGGAGGGCATGACCTTGTGCAAAGTCAGCCGGACACAAAGGGCCAAACCTGGACAGACCCACTCGCCGGAGGCCCCTAAGGAAGTGGCGTGGTGGCTGCCCGGGCTCAGGACCGCTCAGTGGGAAGATGAGACACTCTGGGGGTGGTGGGGGCGCAGAGGGTGGCAGGGTGTGCATGCACTTTGCTGCCGCTGAACTCTACCCCTAAAACCAGACGGAAGCTTAAAAACAGGGCGGGGACCAGTGCAGGACCCCAGCGGCTGAAAAAGCAAAAGTCACACCCAAGCCGAAGCAGCAAAGCGCGGCCCAGCAGAGCCGCACGCTGTCCCCAAACAGCTCAGCATGTTGGGCCTGGAGAACTCAAAACCAGCTGGTGCCCTTGTGTAGCCTCAACTCCATACCCAGCGCCAGCGGCCAGAGCAAAGATGGGAGGGGAGGCAGGGGCCTGCCCTAAGGACCAGGAGCCATCCTTGGCCCCCTACGGCCAGGCAAGGCTCCTGGTGCTGGCACCTGTGACCGCAAGGAGCCCTGGGAGACGGGCTCAGCCAGGGCAGCTCTGGAGAGGAAGGGCTGGGAGGTAGGGGGCAGGGCTCCCACCCACCCCCTGGGTCTGCGGATCCCGGAGCAGAACCGCCCCCTCCCAGGCCTCCTTTCTAGCTGGAAAGGCAGGCTTTGGTTGGCATGGAAACTGCGGGTGGGGGGGTCCTCCCCAGCACCCCCCACCCCACCCCCCCAGTTGCTGGTGGGTGCTGCTGCATCCTGTGAACTCCCAGGGGTGCTCTGGGCTCGCTGACACCTGACTGTAAGGTTGTGCGAACACCTTGCAACGCCCTCTCCCCGGCCATGGCGGCAGACACAGGACTCAGGACGGGGAGATGGCCCCCGGGCAGCCCAGGAGGAACACTTGGCTCCCGCTCCCTCAGCTAAAGGCTAGGCCAGGAGCGCAAGGCTGAGTGCTACGTCCTGTCACCTGGTCTGAGTCCAGGCTCCTCCGCTTCCGATCCAGTTCCCTGCCCGTGCGCACGGGGAAGCGGTGGGTGACAACTCAGGTAGTTGGGCCCCCGTCGCTCTGTGGGAGACCCAGATGGGGCTCCTGGCTCCCAGCTCCAGCCTGGCCCAGCCTGGCCCAGCCCTGGCTGTCGGCAGGCATGTGCAGAGTGAACCAGCAGATGGAAGGCCTCTGTCTCTCTGTATTCCAAATAAAATGAAAAAAATAAAGAATTTCTTAGATGCTGCCACACTCTCCCAGCAAGCCAGAGCACAGGAGGGAACGATTCCCTCCTCGCCTTTACCGCCTTTACCGGGGCATGTCCATTGCCCCATTATGGGCTGCCTCCCTCCTACCGAGACCTGCCTCCCTCCTACCGATATTCGCACTGGTTTCCCTGCGCTGCAGGGGGAGTTTCTAGTGTGACCGGGGCTGAAAACGGGGATTCCTCTATTTAACCAAAAGTCGGGGGAACCACCACACAGACACCAGGTGGGTGGGAAGACCACCACCCAGAGGGGCCGCCCCGCTAGAGAAAGGGGTCCCCGGGCACCTACGGGGATTGGGGTGTGTGTGTGTGTGCACTACCCAGAGGGACCACCCCGTTAGAGAAAGGGGTCCCCAGGTGCCTACGGGGATTGGGGTGTGTGTATGTGTGTGTGCGCTGGGGAGGTGTCTGTATGTGTCCGTGTGTGTGTGTCTTGGGGAAGGGACGCTGTGTGTCTGTGTGTATGTTGGGGAGGGGTTGCTGTCTGTGTCCGTGTGTGTGTGTGTCTGTGTGTATGTTGGGGAGGGGTTGCTGTCTGTGTGTGTGTGTGCTGGGGAGGGGACGCTGTCCGTGTCTGTGTGCTGGGGAGGGGACGCTGTCCGTGTCTGCGTGTGCTGGGGAGGGGACGCTGTCCGCAGACGTGTGGAGAGCGGCCGTGGTCGATGACCCCCTCCTACCCAGGCCGCCTACAGCCGTGCAGAACCAGGAGCCGCCATCGTGGCAGGAAGTGTGCCGCCCCTCGGCCTGGCTCCAGCCTCCCTGGATCCCGGTGCCACCCCGACCCCGTGTACGGCAAACCCCGCAGCCCGAGGCTTTCAGGCCGAACACCTCCCGCCCTGGGACGCTGCCAAGAGAGAGCCATTGCAGCGCGGGGCCGGCCGCAGCCCGAGCGCCCGGGAGGGGCCCAGCCCCGGCTCGCAGGTCCCGGCCGAGCTGGCAGGAGGAAGTCAGGGCCGCGGCTGCGAGGGGCTGCCAGCTGCTTCCTCCCGAAAGCTGGGGGCAGCGGGTGGGGCGGAGGCCCTCCCTGGGGAGCCTCAGGGTCCCTCAGCAAACGGCTCCTGGGACCGAACCCCGCCCCGCCGCGCAGGTGCCTCCAGGGCGCCCTGTCCTGGCGGCGCCCGCCCTCTGCCGGCCAGAGTAGGCAGCCCTCGTCCCTGCGGGGGGGGGGGAGGGGGGGGCTGAACCCAGGGTTCGATCAGAAGCGCCACAGGCAGGCCTCACTTGGACCCGAAGCGCGCGTATTAGCCACAACCCTCACTCCGTAACACCCTTCCGCTCTCTGACCACTGGCCCACGCACGGCCTCG